GTCCTTGTCGCGGGTGCCCCGACCAATGCAAATCGCGGTGCCATCCCTGTCCCCGCCTGGGTAATGGGGTCTAAGAAAGCACGGTAACACGGAGCCGACTTTTCGGTGTTGGTGATCTCTGGCCGAAATAGGGGCCGCATCCTAGGGCATCCCAGAGGTCTACCATCGGTTCAAGAGACTCTCTGACTGATATTTGAGGTCACTGCCCTACGGTTGGGAATCCTTGATGTGGCCTACATTCCGCCCCCCCCCCCCCCCGAGCCTTCCAATCAGTCATTCATCTTTGGTCCCGAGGGACCATTCCGACCCCTCGTTGACCCCTGTCGGGCGCCCTCGTACACGGCCCCCGGCCAACTCAGGGACACTTGCCGACACATGGGCCCCCTGCTGATCACTGCGGGCCCTGACCAACCAGGGGTCCCCTATTGTTTCAGGGACCCCGACCGATGTAAATCGTGGACCTCACCCTTGCTCCTGCCCGAGAAACTGTCGAGAGTCCGAAGCTAAGACTAGCAACGTAGGAAGCCGGGAATGTCGGTATTCAGAAAACTGCCCAAATACAACACGTTTAATTCAAAACCGCCGGTGGGGTCGCGGCGAAATCTACAGCACCGCTCGCACGGATTTCTTTCTTACATTTACCACCCCCTCATTTCACAGTGCTTGCGCTGCCCTGCTCATCAACTACCTTGAGCTGAAGACTCACAATTCCACGATTTTTCGGCATTAAAATGCAACCGACTGGTTACCCAGTTTGATTGATTGATTGATTACCGCCGGCGAGCATTTGAAACAAAACGATCCAGCGCACGCGCGCCGCCTGCTGCCGGCGGCCGTCAGCGTTCCTTCAGCTGTAGGGTATTCATCTGTTGCGTCGAAAAAGATGTGGCGTGACGTGACGTTCAGTGACGATCGAGTACATTGCATTACACTGGAGAGCCACACATACTAAATGCCGAATAATTTGCAAAGGGTGCAATGAAAGAACCCTTGTAATGCAGCTATTGCTAAGCAAAGCTCATTGCCGCGCAGAACAGCATGCCCACTAGCTTGGAGAGTTGTGCTTGGAGTCACTGGAAATGTGACTACGCAATTGAGTGTGGGTGTGAATGAGTGTGAGTGTGACAAAGCACAAGCATTGCACCAACATTGGGGCGCCAAATGACCGCTGCAGTCGACGGCCCCCTAAAAACTCCAAATACTACTTCTATTACTACATGAAAACCTTGGGTTTTTAGTGGAAGCAAGTACGGTCATTTGAAACTTCTGGAATGCACAACAGCACCTAAGTGACAGTTGATGCTGTACAATGGTTAATTTTGTTTCAGAAAACAGCAGAATGCCTTAAATGATTCTACTGGGTCGTTGACTTAGTTTGTTTCGTGTGCCTCATCTGCTTCAACGCATGACATAGGACACGAAATTGGGAGGTGCGATGACAATGATCGTCCCATTTTTATTTTTCCGTGGCAATTTATTTGCATGTATGCATTCACAATTATCACATCAAGTACATAAATAATCGCATCACATATTCGGCAACCATATCCAGCCAAATCCTTCACAGCATCGTTGTCTATCATGTATACAAGCACATCGCTTCAAATGCTTGCACACATAGCTTAATATCTACCTCACGGTCCACACTAGACCCACAATGCCTCATTCACCCGTGCTCGTTTCGTTGCGATTCGTACTACGACCTTCCACCGTGAACACACACAACACGGTGTTTGCTGTCGGTGGTGCAGCAAAAGCATGAATGTGTGCATGTGTGTGTGGTGTGCGTGTTTGTGACCTGGAAGCATGTGTGGATGTGCAAATACGTGGATAGCTGTTTGAGCTGAGTGTTGCGCGGGGCGTGCACGTGGTTTATACCATAAATTTTTGGTTATAAGGTTTCGGGCATTAATTGCAGTTTGTCTTCCTCTTCCGGATAGGCCCGCGAATCTGCTGGTTTCATTATGCCATTTGGCGCAACTGCGCTATTGTCGTGTTTCAAATTACAGCAGTTTCGGAAATGTAAATTTTCAGCAGTGCCTTCCACAATGCGCCTCGTAGATCGTCAGCTCGTCTTGTCCAAGCAACAATAAGTGGGTGTAACGGCGCAAGCAAGCCCGCACATAAACAGGCGCGTGCTTGCGTGTAGGCTGATGTGCGTGCGTGCGTGCGTGTGTGCGTGCGTGAGTGAGTGCGTGCGTGTGCGCTGTGTGTGCTGGAAAAGCAGGGAATCTATCTTACGGTCAACTGCACAAGGTTTTGCCACAACCGGCTGTTTCCATGCAAGGCGAACTGCAATGAGCGCGTGAGACAACTAGACACATGCGTAGATCGCTGGACAATTTTTCACGCTCTAGAACGATAAAAACAAGCATGAGCGAACATCAGCCCGACCCGATCTAACGATGGTCTGACGGACGATGCTCAGCCGGCAACCCAGAGCGAATAAGTTCCAAAACGGCAACACACTACAGATTGTACAATCGAAGTAGTCTCAGCATGCGCCGGTTGATCGTCTGGTGCCATATGATTAAGATAAACTCGTGACATCTAAGTAGAGTTGAAAGGGGTGGAAACAAAGCGCGCTGGGATTTAGAAAACGCAAAAGTCGATCACATTTTGAAGAATACAGCTGACACGAACTCTTTCGCTGTAGAAACACTTGAACATGACGTTTTGGCTATATTGCGGCCAAACAACAAATCGCAAAATATTAGTTCAAGTTCTTGCCGGGTAAGAGGTCGAGGTTGATTTACGTTAGACCCTAACCGGACGCTGACTGCCCTGCCGCCTTTGGTGTCCCATCCGAGGATATGCCGCATCAGATGACGCCACAGTGGGGGATCCATCAGCCGAAGACTCTCATGCACGCAGTTCACATACAGCCGCCGCCTCAGCCTGGCGGCGCCGGCGCGACAGCCGGCGGCTCGCAAGCCCGCCCGCGAGCGGACAACAGGCTCGGAACGGCAGGTTGTTTGGAACGGCTGATTCGAAGCGGCAGGCTGTTTGGAACGGCAGGTTCGGAACGGGAGGTTATTTGGAACGGCAGGTTTGCCCGCGGGCGGACGCCTGCCGGCAGGCCGCTGGCCGGGGCTTAGCCCCAGGGCGCATGAGGCGCCGGCGGTCATAGGACGGGCTGCCGCGGCAGCCAACGGCTCAGAGGCGGGCTCAGGCCGAGCTGGACATGGGGCAAGCGGCATGCCCTTCAGGACCGGTCCAAGCGGCTGCTGCAATCTTGGCTTCAGCCTGTCGTTATGCTGGGCTCGGGAACATTTTTCGCCTTGCATTTGGTCCAGTCTGTTTTTGTAGGCCGGCAGCCTCTTGTCGACGTTTTCCCGGAGTTTTGTGTTTGCTCTCTCATTGGAAGCCCCAATCGAGGCTTTTATGTCGGCAAACAGATCTCTTTCTTCTGTACTTATATTTGCCCTGTTCTTTGATGACACCACTGTCTGACGGTTTGTCCTTCGTTACCCTCATCATTCCACCCACAGGCTATTGTCGTTTTGGGGGGCACCGGTGGTCAGACGCAGGGCAGGCTCTTCGTGGTCATCTGCCGAGAAGAATGTCGACTCGCTGGCTGTCACCACATCAGGCACAGATGCAGCGCTCCGGATCCGGCCTCACTCGCTGCCACCCACTTGGAGTGACGAAGGCGCTCCGGGGCCACGGGCGCCTCCCCTCACACGGCTAAACGCAACGCATCAACAGCTGACAAGCGGACACGTAGACATGAACCTCACCGGCCGTGGTCGAGGCCACGGCTGACAATGATTATCTTAGGCTCAAATAATCATTTCTGCATGGGCTTACGGCTGCTTTTTGAAACACGTTAATAGAATTCTTAAGACGTCTGCGACAGCTGCCTCCCAGCCCCAGCCGCACACTCATATAAAGAGAGAATGGTGAGGGGTAAGCGGCCACTGACCGACTTCCGTCAAAGTTGTAGGCGATTCACCTCATGTTGCTGCATAATAGATGGCTCACCCATAAACTTTGCTTGCCCATGGCCCACATACTGCCCTGGTTGTCAGCCCATCATACCTGACTGCCGTCAGGCGCCCCGGCAGCCAGGGGTCGCATCAATCAAGAAATATTATGAAGGGTGTCGAATGCATTAAAAAATAATGGAAACATGAATCGACCATGTAACATGACCGATATTTTCGGGCGTTTTTAAACAGCCATCCCCATCGCTCAGTGAAGTACATCCGCAAGCACTTGCAACGGCTGAAGTACTGAACATTATAAAAGCGGAACTTCGGCGATAAGCTGCCATGACTTGTTAAACACGGCTGGATGCAACGCAAAACTTGTGCGCTGGATTGTTGTGAAAATGCTTGCAAATGGATGCTTCGCCCCAAGAGCCCCAGTTTCGGGTTTCAGTTTTGCGTTCCTACTCTTTTTTACGACATACATAACACCGGACACTGTTGATGTCTGGACGCGCCGCCCGGCTTCATCATTAGCACCTCCCGGGATCCTGAATACGCACAATTTACTTGTGGGAAAGTGTATCATGCAAACACGACACAGGCGAACTGAGGATTGCGTTAACGAGGACCCGTCGTTAACGCGACCCTCAGTCAAACAGGCTGACTTTCAAAGCCTGGAACTAACGACAAGCGCACAATGTCGTTGGCGTACACCTTATCGCACGAGGCATTCAGCGTTGGAATGCATGCCCGACCCTCCCACAGCAGCTAACAGCTTTGGCAACTCTCATGCCGCCGCCGGCCCGCTGAAGAGTCGTCGACACAGAAAGTGTTGGCGAACCTCTGACGTCATCCGAGCGGCCGGTCCGCCAGCCCATTGTCAGCAAGACAGGTCAACAAGCGCGCCACGCGCCAGGCCGTCCGTGAAGCTCGTTTGCCGTGCCGACGGCGAAGGTGACGGCGGTTGGCCGGGGTCAGACGGTGGCCGGCGCTAGACCAGGTCAGCCGCAGCCGACGGCAGCCATGCCCGGCGCCAGTGTCGGACCGAGCGGCGCCGCCGGGCGGGAGTCGCTCTGGGGCGTGTGGTGCCGCACCACGGCCCAGTTCGTCAGTGAGACGTCCGTGGTGGGCGTCAACAACGCTGGCAGGACGGCGAATCCATTCCGCCGCTTCTTCTGGTGCTGCCTGTTTCTGGCCGGCCTGGCCGTCACGCTCAACGACGTCACCAACTTGCTGAAGAAATATTTTCAGTACCCAGTCACCACCGACTTCACCATCGATTACCAGGACAGCGTCACGTTTCCGGCCGTCACCATCTGCAACCAAAACAGCGTCATGTGCAGCAAGCTACTCCACAGGTTGTTCGAGCTCCCGGACAGCGCTCCTCTGCAGAAGGTCATCACGCTTTCCTCCTGCATGGACACCCTGGAAATTGGCTGCTTGGTACTGCACACGCTCGTCTACCTTTATGAATTTATACCAGACTTCATCCGGGACTCCCCTTGTTACGCCAACACGATTGAAAATTGCTGCCAGCTGGAGCAGTCTGCCGCCGCAGCAATACTGAACAGCAGTGTTGTGATGCGGTTGCTCGACTGCGAGTGCCCGAGTCAGGATTACAAGGTGGACGCCGATCAGGAGGCAGAGCAGAGTCAAGACTACAAGACCGACGCCGATCAGGAGGTAGCGTCGAGTCAAGATTACGAGACCGGGGCCGGTCAGGAGACGGCGTCGAGTCAGGAGTACGAGGCCGGCGCCGATCAGGAGGCGGCGCCGAAGGGGCAGGCGCGCAGGAGACGGAACGCCCTGGACCTCGCTGCGTCGTTTCCAACAGAATGGAGAACGCTGAAGGTAGCGGCACAGCAACCCTTTTGCAGTTGCCCGGGGTCGGCCCTGGCCCGTTCAGTATCATGCTGCAAATAGACCAGTTCTAAAAGGCGCATTTGCAAACAGCACAGAATTGATCGTCACTTGCGATTTAGCCCAAACCAGCAAAAAAAGATTTAGTGCGAGCGTAGGTCTCTCAGATAAGGCAGTAGTAAAAACCTTATTTCTCATAGACAAACCAGGAAAATGAAGGCATAGATGCGTTGATATTTCGGCAACATGCCTTTATTAAAGAGTACATGAGTAGTACATTCTGAATTGCTTGCCGACCTCACTCGATTTTTCAGGGTTTTTTTTTAAGCAGCCAGCCAGAGATTGCACAGGTCACCAACATTCAGGGGATCAAACAAGGAGTTGCTAGCCACTACTATGGTGCAGTGCATATCTAAGAATTGTAATATGCGAAAAATGCCTGTACATGCAAACGAATTCACGCAAACAGGCATCACGCATCGCGCCACATTCAAACATCCAGGCGATTTCATGTAAACAGGTATCACGCATCACACATCGGTTATACGCACAAGCGATTTCAGTTGAACAGGCATCGCGCATCACGCGTCAAGCATCATTTATACATGTGAACGATCTTAAGGTAGCACGTATCACGCATCAAGGCACTTATCACATCCGCACAATCGCCCATGATGAGCCATATACGCTAAGGTCTGGTCGCCGACTTTTTATGGGAACAGATTTCCCAATTTTACTGTCTGGATGGTCCTGTGCTCTGTAGGGGACTTTTAGCTCTCAGTGGGGTATAGTCTCCACACTTCACTGGTTGCAGCCTGAGCGTGTTTTGCCAAAAATGGTCACCGAAAGCGGTATTCCCTGTTTTTTAGCATCTCGCAGGTATACATTATGTCTCAAACGAATAGGGCGCATGGACTCTCCTAGATAGACTATCGCCCTCTAATGTTTTTCACCCAGTTTGCACTTTATTTCGTAACCACGTAGACGCACTTAACAACATGCGTAATTTCGGAAGTTTGATTTACCAGTTTAGGAACTTTACCATTTGGGTCGCAATGCGGTGGTATTGGCCACTAAATCGGGTATGTAATTGCTGAATAAGTAGCACTTCCACTAAATGGCGCTACAGACATACAAATTTCAATGCAAAAATTGGGGATAGTTCAATGAAGCTCTGAAGAAAATTATGCGCATCGGGGGAATTTCACTACACATATTTAGTTCCTCGGTCTTCGTGGCGACAAACCGGACGGTTTCTTATTCAGCGCGACACGGATGTCAGTTGTCAGAGAGGGGCAGTCAGAGTGTCAGTCAGGATGTCAGAGAGGAGCAGTCAGTTCGGAATGCTTTTATAGGAAACAAGAACGATGCCCACCAGAAGTAATAGAGGGTGCGACTGGGAGTAGGATGCTGCAAGGAGTGCGTAAAGCCGTTTACAGGAAGTGCCGTATTTGGTAACCGACAAAATGACCTCAGCCCGAGGTCCTAGAGCGGCAGGTGTTCGAAAACCTCTTCATGGGTCCTGACGCCACCTGGGTGATAACGAATAATGACGAGTCACTCTGGACTGGACGGTAACGGCGTGTTAGCTGTGAGATGTTACCACTCCACCCGAATGATAACAAATCATGGTAATGATAATCTCTCAAGTGAAGACAGCCGGCGTGTCGGAAAGGAAAGGAGAATGAATTACGGGCGTGAAGTTAAAGTTGACACATCTCAATCTAGCGCATATTAGGAAGCGGTACTGGATGGAGTAGGCGGGAGGGGGAGGGGGTAGGGGGGGGGCGGTAGAGGGCGGAATTTACAGGCCGGAGGCCATTGCAGAAGGGGAGAATACGTCAGCGAGGGGTATAGTGAGAATCGGAACACATGCACGAAATAAAATGAAGGCAATAAATGACACGGATTTATGGGAGAAGCGGCTATTCAGCATGGGAAACGATGGATGAATCTAAAAGTAAACGTCAATTAACTTGGGCTGGAAGCCTAAACACAGCGTGATTGGTCATGTCAGCGTTGTAACGGGAAGCAAAACTAACCGAGCGCTCCCCATTGTCGTAGGTTTTCATTACCTTAAACTCAGCTCATTCCCTGAACAGTGAAATTTTCTGCAGGTTTTATGCCTCACCAGCTTTTTTACAATAGTGCGTAGATCTGGAAGTAGCACAGGGTGCAGCATGTTGGTGAGGAAAGGTTTAATCGTAAGTCCACCATGTTGGTATGAGTCATTGAACACTGGGATCGTTAAATTTCGAAATGGGCTGCGAACAACCGAAGCGATGATCACAAACGCAAGGTTAACACATCTCAGAGATGTGAACTTAACGTTGTTGCGAATGCTGTAGAACATTGCAGTCATGAATACCGGTGAAGGGAGTTCTGCGAGGATCCTTTGATTGTCACTGCGAACTTCAGGAAGATTAAGGACTCAAATGGAAAATCTGAAACTGCTGCAAAAATGCATATTGTCACAACGGCTTACGGTGAACTGAACCAGGAGCCCAAAAAACGCCTCCATTGATCTCGCAAGGCTCAAAATACCTTAAGAGTAAAATTACAGAAATTTTCGACAGTTGCAGAGTTGTTGGGTGTAAAAGCGCGACCGCATCCCGTTTCAAGACAACAGATGGCTCACACGGCTCACAAAGGCTTATAAGCGCCAATTATATGACTCTCAGTTAGCTCAAATTATTCGAGAGCAGCGCGTTGCGAGTATCGTGGAAAGGAAACTGCTCAATTATCAACATGGTGGCGCGTCCGCTTGATGCTATGTTGATCTGTTTCTGGCCTAACACCGCGCGGAGCAATGCAACCTACATCTTTGAGCTCACCCAATTCTAAAATTTGAGGAGCGTGTTGTTTGCGTCGCGCTCAGTCCACAACTCTTTCTGACATACATGCATGGGACCATTGCAACGTGGCGGATTTGTTACAGGCCGCCATGGTTGAGCGATCGGCGCGCCGGCGGCGTGAAGCACCCTACTCTGATGCATCCTACACCGAAGCATCCTACACTGATGCTGGCGACATCAATTGGTTCGACACGGGGTGAGTGGCAAACAGACGAGTTGCTGGAAAATTCGAAGCCTTTGGTTTAGAAAGCGTGAAGAAGAGACTGTTTTTCATCCAGTAATATGCAGTTCGATTATTGTGTTGTCTATACGGTGCGTACTACATGCGCTGTCCCGACTGATCTTTATTTCTGACAACCTTTGTTTCTGACAACTCAGCCTTCTTCGCCCTGTGCGATTTCTTCGGAACTGAGGGGATCGAATTGGCTTTTTGCTTTGCGGAACTGATGGACCTTCGACCAGGAATTAGACCCAAATCCTACGGCTCGAAATCGGACTCTTCAGTGCAATTAATGGTCTCGAGCTGTGACTCCAGCACGCGCAGTCCGGAACAAGGGCTATCGTAATGTGAGGGTACTTTACAGGGACTAGGGTTACATTGTGTAAGATAACATTACTCTCAGACTCAACTCTCAAGACGCTCGGGCTCGAACGCGGACTCTAAACTTAGCTTTTGGGACAGATGCCTGCTCTGTGCCCAGACTATAGTCGTTGAAGACACAACTGGCAGTGTGTTGGAAAGGTCTGCATCGCGCTCCATGCAGTGCTGCTGCCACGCTTACTTTCAACATATGCTACAGTCCATACGCATATTAATATTTCTCAAAAGTTAAGGGGGATAATGACTTCATGCCGTATCAGCATTCATAGTTGCTCAGATATTCGAGCAATGTGTGATCACCTTTCAAACCAACGTTCAGCGTTGCGATCGAAGATTTTGCGGGTCATCCGATTAAGGTGTAAACAATAGCAACATACGCCTGAAATATACGGCCTTGCTGATAGCTGTGACATTTTGCAGAAGGCTGATGCCTCCACAAACGTCCATGGCAGCGGATGTTTTGTTCAGTACCTAGTCTTTCTTTGCAGAATGGGCCAAGATGAGATCTACGACAGCGATATGGATTTTTACGCCAGTTTCATGAACCTGACAGAAGACATTCGCAAATCGGTGGGACAACCCTTCGAGGAGTTCATCAGGTCCTGCAGCTACAACGGAAGAGATTGCCTTAATAAAGAGTAAGCATCACTGTTCAGGGTGTAGACCACGGGCTCAACGGGAACTCAGCACAAGCATAGCCTTATAGCTCCTGAAGGGAGGCACCGCTCTTGGATATGACCACAAAAATATCGTAATGATTGTGTTGGATAGTGCGTGACGACGCACCGCACCAACAAAAAAAAACGCGTTTTATTCTCATTTGTGCCTTTGTGAAAATCGGTATACTGCTGTTTTATGTCTTTTTAGGTGATACGTAATATATTAAAGAGATATATGTGCAACCCATTGGAACAAAGCAGGTTCCACTAGAAGATTGTTTTGCTATTTTGCACTCTGTTAACCATGACGCAGCGGTTACACGCGCTCGGCTGGGGGTCAAATTGCGCCCTCCACCGAAGGTTTTTCCAGAATGATTTCCGAACAACGCGGCGTGAACCGCACCTAATTTTGTATAGCTGTAGATAATTGAAAAGCGGATCTTTTGTCGTCCAAATTTGATGCATTTTGTAATGTTACTCGCATATGTTAAGATAAAGCCAGGTCATGGCTGTTAGCGAAGGTCATTTCTAGGGAGTCGTTCAAGGTGATGCAACAACGGAGCTGTTAGCTAAAGCCATACATATGTGAGATAGTTTCTTAGGCAGTAGACTAATTGGGGATATGAATGCAACCAATTCTATTGAGGAGTTTCTGGTGCTCATTTCGAATTTGTCATTAACAGAGATCGCAACAGACATGTTCCATGGATTCTCAAAGGTCAGAGTAGGTCACTGACCTGAAATGGCTCAGGTCAACATTTTGTTCTTAGGAACATACCGCCTAGAGTAATCCCTGGCGTTTATTAGAATGACGAAATCGGACCAATCTCGTAGGTATTTGGTCACCTTAACCGTATAAATGTCAAAGAAGGCTACCTGACCTCACTGACCTTTTGCTTAAAATCGGCAGTCTAGCTTCACGGTGGTTGCATGAGGAAGTCTAGGGGCAATCGAGACACCAATCTGAATTGTACACAAAGTGGGGCTAAATTGTCCCCCAACTGAGCGAAAGGCATTCAACCAGGCGACCCGGGCACGTGTTAAAAGCAGCAAGTTAGCACAAATCTACAGCTAAGGCGAGCATCATGCAGCTCTTGTTCTCCTTCACAAAAATGTGTGACTTAAACCTATCTGATGCATCGTTGTCATCAAACCTTGCAAACTAGCTGAGTGCACGTTATTTGCGAACACGGAACCCCTACATATCCCAGCGCCGGATCATGGAAGCGTCTCGTGTTTGGTTCCCGGCTGGCCGCCTATGCTGTATTTCATTATGCGGCGCGCCGAGTGATGACGTTTGGAGAACGCAGCTCTAAAGAGACTGAACGCGCCAAGCAAAAATTGGGTTGCCTCTGTTACGTAAGACGGCCCGTTAAACGGTTCGGGTCGGTTAAACGGTTGCATCCGCGCCACAAGTGTAAGAGCTGTGAGACATGAACCGGCATATACTAGCTTGTCAAGAGCCTACAGTTGTTTGACTCCATTACAGTCGCTGAAAACGCGGATGTCGTGTTTGAAGATTATCAGGGAGGTAAGTGCTCATCGGCAGTACACCACAGCACACAGTAATGAAGCATTGCCAACCCAGCATTTTGTGAGGTATCAGTTATCGACTCTAGTTTCTGAGGTATGGCCGACGGTAACAAGGTCTGAGGTAGCGACAACACATCAGGGCACATAGGGTCTCTTTGGACACCCCAGTGGGGCGGCTGCCGCGGCCGCACGGTAACGCTATACAAGCGGCTTTCACGGAAGGAAACATTGCCGATGCGTCCTGATTTCGCCGCAGCTTCTTCAGACAGATCAGCACAGCGTCGTACGGCAACTGCTACGTCTTCAACGGCAACATCTCCGGCACTGCAGATAGGGCAGCAGGGCATCGCAACACAACGCTGACAGGGGCGAATTACGGTAAGCCACTTCTCCTGGCGTTCTGTTCCGGACCTCCGCAGCCAATTTGCCCGTACCAGTGAGCAGGCATGGCGCTCCATCGAGGCGTTAAGAGCAACACTGTATGTTAGAGCAACACTGTCTGTATGTAGAGCAACACTGTCTGTATGTTAGAGCAACACTGTATGTTAGAGTAACACTGTCTGTATGTTAGAGCAACACTGTCTGTATGTTAGAGCAACACTGTCTGTATGTTAGAGCAGCACTGTCTCTGTCCATACTGTAACACTGTCTGGCACGTTATGGCGGTCCGTCGTTTTGCTGTGCATTTCCATTGCTGAAATGAACTGTGTAAGGCGCGCAGATGATATGTAATTTACGGCTTGCAAATAAGCGGTTTCCATGCTGGGCTGGGACCTGCAGCTGAAGATTTCTGGATGGGAACGGACCGGTCCCGTATCGACCAAAAAACCTTTTATTTAAAATTATAATGAAGACGGTGCGTTTCAGTTAATTAAGCCGCTCAGCAAATGTTTGAAAGTTTTCAAACGATAACGCTTGGATTGGAATGAACAGCCACTGACTGCAATATGCGGTAGCTTTTAAAAGCACAGCACCGTCCAGATACGACTTTGTATCTGGACGGTCCTGTCCTTTTTGCATGTCCTTTCAACAGTGGTGTATTTTCAAAAGTGTATTTGTCACACAATCTGTGCTGTGGTGATATACAACGCAATCAGCAACAGTGGTAGTCATCAGTGATCCCTTACGAAGATTTACTCGGATGCTTTTCCGTGAATTACGTCATATTCAACGCTTTTAACAAAAAGGCAACCCACGTAAGCTTGAGATGGAAAGTCATTTCTGTGCAGGAAGACATTTTTTTAATCTACCAAAAATTGAAACAGATATTCTCATTTCAACATCGAAGACGCAAATCAAAATGGCCGAAATCCAAAAGGATTCAGGCTTGAGGAGTAGATTTTGTCACCCTTCCAGCAGACCCCACCCAGCCCCTCCCCCACAACCGATTTCAGAAAGCGATGCCCCTGCGCACAAGACCGTCGTCCTGGCATCACGCCAGTGGCTGGTCGTGCCATCTTAACTTCGACCAATTTGCACGGCAGGCCTCAAGTTGGTGCTTTATCTGGACGCGAGCGACTACATGCGGTCGACGGTATCCCAGACGGTAGGCGCCCGCGTCACCATACACAGCAGCGACGTGTTCCCGCTGGTGGACGAGGCGGGTATGGACATCGCACCGGCCAGTGTCAACTCTATCTCACTGAAGGAGGTAACATCTCTCTCTCTCTCTCTCTCTCTCTCTCTCTCTCTCTCTCTCTCTCTCTCTCTCTCTCTCTCTCTCTCTCTCTCCTCTCTCTCTCTCTCTCTCTCTCTCTCTCTCTCTCTCTCTCTCTCTCTCTCTCCTCTCTCTCTCTCTCTCTCTCTCTCTCCTCGTCTCTCTCTCTCTCTCTCTCTTCTCTCTCTCTCCTCTCTCTCTCTCTCTCTCTCTCTCTCTCTCTCTCTCTCTCTCTCTCTCTCTCTCTCTCTCTCTCTCTCTCTCTCTCTCTCTCTCTCTCTCTCTCTCTCTCTCTCTCTCTCTCTCCTCTCTCTCTCTCTCTCTCTCTCTCTCTCTCTCTCTCTCTCTCTCTCTCTCTCTCTCTCTCTCTCTCTCTCTCTCTCTCTCTCTCTCTCTCTCTCTCTCTCTCTCTCTCTCTCTCTCTCTCTCTCTCTCTCTCTCTCTCTCCTCTCTCTCTCTCTCTCTCTCTCTCTCTCTCTCTCTCTCTCGTCTCTCTCTCTCTCTCTCTCTCTCTCTCTCTCTCTCTTCTCCTCTCTCTCTCTCTCTCTCTCTCTCTCTCTCTCTCTCTCTCTCTCTCTCTCTCTCTCTCTCTCTCTCTCTCTCTCTCTCTCTCTCTCTCTCTCTCTCTCTCTCTCTCTCTCTCTCTCTCTCTCCTCTCTCTCTCTCTCTCTCTCTCTCTCTCTCTCTCTCTCTCTCTCTCTCTCTCTCTCTCTCTCTCCTCTCTCTCTCTCTCTCTCTCTCTCTCTCTCTCTCTCTCTCTCCTCTCTCTCTCTCTCTCTCTCTCTCTCTCTCTCTCTCTCTCTCTCTCTCTCTCTCTCTCTCTCTCTCTCTCTCTCTCTCTCTCTCTCTCTCTCTCTCTCTCTCTCTCTCTCTCTCTCTCTCTCTCTCTCTCTCTCTCTCTCTCTCTCTCTCTCTCTCTCTCTCTCTCTCTCTCTCTCTCTCTCTCTCTCTCTCTCTCTCTCTCTCTCTCTCTCTCTCTCTCTCTCTCTCTCTCTCTCTCTCTCTCTCTCTCTCTCTCTCTCTCTCTCTCTCTCTCTCTCTCTCTCTCTCTCTCTCTCTCTCTCTCTCTCTCTCTCTCTCTCTCTCTCTCTCTCTCTCTCTCTCTCTCTCTCTCTCTCTACTCTTTGCGATGCTTTATGACTACAATTACCGGCACCTTGACGAGCGAACCAAGAAGTATTGAGTACCACGTGTTGAAGCATAGGAGTACACGGGTTTGCAGAATGCATACATGTGAGCGAAAACATTAACTCTTTGTGACTATTGCAGTGTAACAATTTCCCGCATATGGCACTGCGGTGTTATCATGTGTAAACTCGATCTGTAGGCCCAATAACGGGTTCAAGGAAGAGCAACTCTAAGCCATGGTCTCCATGACGGCGAAAGTGACATCACGTTTCAGATTCGCCATACGCTGTCGCAAAAGTCAAAGTCGGCCTTGAAAACTAGGTGTTGGATCCGGTTTTGTATAAGTCTTGCTAAATGTCGACAACAGCGATGCTGATTTTGTCTATTTCATGGCATTAATAAAAAGGGGAGCTCGACTTATGTCCGAGCGTGTCTGCAAACTTGAACATGTGGTGTGTAAGAAGCATGGCGATGATGGATATATCCTCCTCGTTTTTAACAATCTGGACACAATTGATACCCACACTACACTGCATTACACTCGGAACAGCGTTTTATGCACAATCCTTGTGCCCTATGTCACCTGCCGTCACACATTTCTTGCAGTAAAGCAGTGTTTTATCTCTTCCGGACTTGCGGCAGTGTTTTATTTCTCCCGGACTCACGTCTGCAGAAACTGAGGCCGGACTAGCGTCAAGCCTGCGCTCCGTTTTCTGTCGGTGTTTGCAGACTCGGATCATCCGCCAGGAGCATCCGTACCAGTCCAACTGCTACCGCCGATGGTCGCAAGTGGAGGTGGAGCCCGTCATGTTTGACGAGGAAACCGGCGCCAGCAGCCCCACTGGGGAGCGCTTCACCCTCCCCGTAGGTCTCGGAGGCTGTTTGGTCAGCCTCATTCAGCACCAAGCCTCAGTTTCATGAGAGTCTCTGGCGATTCGCCGACGTCTTTAGGCCAGCTTTACGGAATGATTGGGGCGATGTACTACTTCACATTATGAATGAAACAGTTGTTCAAACTATGTGCTCGTATGATGTGCTAGTATGTGCATAGCGTTTCATTCAGTGGCTCCTCCTGCCGTCGTCAGAAGCAGCTGAGTTTTGAGAAGGGTTGGATGAAGCTCGATCCTCATTCGTGTACGCGTCACGATCAAATTTTATTCCTGGAATGACTGAAATTTGTATCGGGCCCTTTTGGATAAGAGTCCAGCGTTCTACCACTGAGCTAACCGCGAGTGAGAGGATTTCATTGTTGGACCCTGATCCTGTTCATCTCTTGGATATTTGGGAATTTTTTCGCAGAATTGGGGGCCCTTTTGGACTGATGTCGATGTTCCGCTTACTGATATGGTTGCTGGCATATGTCATGGAAGTCAAAGTGGTGGATGTCTGCCGAAAGGCAGAAATTTGGACCAGCGTAAAGCAGCCGAAGCAGCCAAAGAAAGATAGCAGGAGCGGTGTCATAACTTTGAGCGTTTATCAGAAAACATCAGAAGAATGAATGAACAATGCGGCACGAAAGTCTGCGGAAGGTGCTGAATGCACCTTAAGCAACTCGAAGAATGACTACCAAAATCAGGCCACCGACACCTGAGGAACATACGAAGAGCTGTTTTTTGACATACCTACCATGCAGTTGTGGCAGTTCGTGCCAAGGCGAAACAAGTCGCTCCCTGCCGGTCACAATGGAAGAGCAGAGAATGGCAACCATCCGGGTTGAGACGTTCCTATCTGAAAAGACAGAGCATGCATGGGCAGCAGAGAGATGAAGGAAGCATTGGCTAACAATCAGACCGCTGTCCTTCCAGTTAGCCTAATTGTAGAATTCTAGAATGCTAGTTATCACAATTCTTCAGTTTGAGTCTCGCTGTAAGCAAGACAATACCTGATTTCTTGATTTTTCGGCATCATGAGCACAGAAACGCCATGCCTACCGCTATCGCCTCTTAATCACCAGGTGATACTGGTTAAGCGACGTTATCAAGCAAACAGGTTCTGTCGTTAAAATAGGAATTTTCAAGCCGCGCTTATGTTTGCTTGGTGACGGGGTTTAACCAGTACCTAAAAGTATATTGCAAGTCGATAACTGTCAAATAAGAGGAAGAGGAGCTCTTAACTCATAACGGTTTGAACCTCAGCTATTCCAAATGCAAAATTTGGATTGTGACGCGTACGTAGCTGAAATCCGACTGGCATCGAGTCTTTTCTAGGCTCAATAGCTCCGTTTACATAGGGTTGCCAGCTGTCGCCACCTTGTCGAGGATGTTAGAAGAACATCGAAATTGTATCAAACCGTGGCGAAATGTAACAGACATAACCAGAATAAGCGCAGCCATGGTGGCAAGGACACCTTAGCCGCGCTTACAAAGCATATCAGAAATGTTTTCACGAACGACGCGATTGGCACGAAGCTAAGCATACGAGCCGACCAGCATTAGCGCGTCTTAAATGGGACGATGCGTTCTCAGAACACAAAGTTTCAATTCCCCATATTGTTTTCAGCCGCGTTAGATCTTCGACACGTTCTTGACGGCAGCTCAACCTATCGCTGACACTCACAATGAAAAAGTCGCAACATAATCTCACAAGCAACCGCCCGCTCCACGAGAGATCCACAAGGTTCAAGGTTTGTAATTAAGGTGTCTGGACGTACTCCACGGCTCTATGTCGAGAGGCGTGCAAACTCAGCTATAACCTGAGTGCCAGTGTTGAGCTGACCTGTTGCCATAAAAGCGCTGCTAATCGAACGCATTTCAAAACTACGCGGGTAAGTTGAAGCCTTGCGTTTGATATACGCCTCGTTTCATACCGGCTGACGCGCTAACGCTGGCGAGCGCATATGCTTAGTTTGTCGAAGTTTTGTGCCAATCTGATAGCATTTCTGAGATGTTATGTAAATGTGGCTAATAATAGCCAACGACGGTAACTGGTAAAAACGGTGTGCGCACATCAGTAAATGGCACGCGGACGGGAGCCGGGGCAATTTGTTCAGCCATAATTTTTACCATTAGCTCATAATTATAATTAGCTCATAATCATAATTAGCTCCAATGTTACTTGGCGCCACAGTTTCATACGAACTGCCGAGCTGTAAGTTCAGGAAATGAAAGAACCAGATGCGAGCAGGCGTACGACACACTGGATGTCTGAGTTTGCCTACGCATGTCTACTTACGGCACACTGGATGTCTGAGTTTGCCTACGTATGTCTACTTACGACACACTGGATGTCTGAGTTTGCCTACGCATGTCTAATTACGACACACTGGATGTCTGAGTTTGCCTACGCATGTCTAATTACGACACACTGGATGTCTGAGTTTGCCTACGCATGTCTAATTACGACACACTGGATGTCTGAGTTTGCCTACGCATGTCTACTTACGACACACTGGATGTCTGAGTTTGCCTACGCATGTCTAATTACGACACACTGAATGTCTGAGTTTGCCTACGCATGTCTACTTACGGCACACGGGATGTCTGAGTTTGCCTACGCATGTCTAATTACGGCACACTGGATGTCTGAGTTTGCCTACGCATGTCTACTTACGGCACACTGGATGTCTGAGTTTGCCTACGCATGTCTAATTACGACACACTGGATGTCTGAGTTTGCCTACGCATGTCTACTTACGGCACACTGGATGTCTGAGTTTGCCTACGCATGTCTAATTACGGCACCGTGAGTGGCTGTTGGCATCCTACCGAGCGCTCACTCTTGATGGGCAGATCGTGTGCCTCGTAGACTCATGCCCCTCAAACACTCTGCGTGGCCACTTGCTGGGTCATACAAAGCATAGGATTGCCAGCGTATTCTTAATGACTGGGCGAAAACCAAAAATTAGGGGGCTGGCGCAGGTAAAATTGTGAAAATGCTGGGTGAGATACATGTGCCCATCCTGCTATGCGATGCGTTGCTGGATAAAGCTACTCTCACTTTTGTAGATTTCACTTAGGGCTGTGGTCTTGCTGAGCTCAGCTGATGGGATCGAAATTTGATAGCCGAGCTCATCCACAAAGTGGTTCAGATCTGAAAAATGTCATACGATTGGCATTCTAAGTTGAGATGCTGTCTGAAATGGAAAGCAGGGCAATATTGCGAGGTTTGCGCCAATCGCTGTCCTAGCTATACCGCAGCTACACGGCCACAACTGCAGGCAAATTATCTAGCCCAGTCCCAACGTGTGCTCCGCCCTAACCCTAGCATGTGCTCCCTCGGCAGGGGTGCCACCGGATCTGCCTGCAGCTGCAGATAGTGCGCGCGTGCGGCTGCCACCACACCCTGTACCCGCTGACATTCACCGCGAAGGGCAGGCGGCAGGCCATAGGAGAGGCGTGCGACCTCAGCTATAACTGTGAGCAGCCTGACCAGCGGCTTGTCTGGGCGGATAACGGTTTCAGCGAGGCAAACTCAGTGTGTGTGTGGGGGGGGGGGGGGGGAAGGATGAAGACCCGCGCACAATATTGGCGTGTTTTGGTCATCAGCTTCGTGTCTGGAGCCCGAATCATAATTCACCCCGAGGTTGTTTTCGGTGTGTCGCAAAACGCGGGTAGGGAGTGCGACAAATGTGAAACAACATTGCGTCGTGTATGTGGCTATTTTGTTCCCCTCGGCAGAGACGCTTAATCAATGCTCAATGCGTTTCTTTCTGATAGCATGACATACGATGACATATCGTCATATGGTGTAATTAGTTCTCCGCAATTGTACTCGCTGTTTGCGTTAAATAACGTTAGTACCTCTGGAAAATATCAGGCCGGACCAAAACATCAGTAATTGATCAGACCTCCTCCATACACTGTAGCAGTAATAGATCAAACTTGCGAATAGTAGCTGTGCTCCAGCTTGATATTTTAAGTGGCGCGCTTCCGCGACGTACATTTACGCCCAGCAGCAGCGGTTTAAGTATACGATGACACGCAAACTACGGGACATTGGACTGCTCAAGCGAATGACCACGCCAATGCCGTTGATGTTTTCCCCCCACATCCATCCATTCATTCGTCTTGGTCCTTGCACTTTGCGCGCCGATTTGACGTTGGGACGTGACAACGGCGTCCAGTATAGTCGCTCCGGCTTCGACCCTCCACCCAGCGTGAAGTGAGACCTCTCACAGATCTCCTCTCCGCATGCAGCACTGGACAACAACTGCACGGAAGCGGTAGTGAATAGTATGAGCACAGACGCCAGCTCTACGGACTGTGGATGTTCGGCCTCCTGCGAGTGAGTCAGCGACGATCGTGGCAGTCGATTTTTGCTCCTCGGCGCTTGCAACCAGCATCATGCTATATATGCAACAGGTGATGCTAAACAATTCAGATTGTTGCGTTACGAACGTGGGATAAATGTACTGAATTGTCGACGCTATATTAAGCTGGTTATACCTTTGGTATACCCAGCTTGACTTTTGTGTGCGTTTGACATTTTATGCATGCGGCCTTTTACACATTTAACCTTAAAGCGGCTTAGATCAAACGTATTTACGAGGGCAAATATTTATCATATCTGACATATGTTGGGCATACACGTTACGACGGTGCGATAAACATTCAGCGCAAATTTCTAACTTTTTGTATTATTGGTATTCGAAACCATGAGAAAGTTCTGTGCCAGACCAAACGAGGTTACAAAGCGCTGCAGTGCATTGAAGCAATCATGTGTACGGCTTACACAAAGCAGTGTAAGGCTGAACAGGCACATCCAAACTGTACCAGGCATATATTGCAACTTTCTTCACAACTCACATGCAAATGTAAGGCATCTCAGATGATGCTTGTAGGCAGAAATAAGTCAAGGTCGCTACCCTGCTCGACTTTTGGAACATAAATTTTGCTTGCCTGCAAGCATTTTCTTCAAAAACCACAACGAAAACCATGTTAAAAGGTACTTATCTGTTGTACATTTATCGGATCCAGCGCGACCTTCGGCCAAGAAATTCCTCAAGGTTGCTGGTATGTTGGTCAAAATCATGGTTTATAATTTTTGATTATCAGGGCTGCAGCTTCTTTGCAATCATGTCAAAAGGGAAAAATAAATGTTCAATAGGTTAGTGGTCATTTGACCGCGGTTTCCTCGCAATTCGGTGCAAAATAAAACATCTACCTTAAACTCAAGGCTATTTTTCAACCAGAGGACTTCATCAAACCCGATTAAGTGTTATAGCAGATAAACTGATGCAATGGTTTTGCAGCAATACTGCTGCAATACAGCCTGCTGCAATACTTTTACGTGTTGAGGAATATTTCGAAATTCAACATTTGGTTGGACGTAGATCTTTCCTTTTTAGACATACTATCAGGAAACCGTGGTCAAGTGATCATAAACTTACTTAAAATTATGTTGCTCGCAACAGCACTGAAACAAGTCACCAGCCAAAATCTGCCTTAAATCAAATGTTGAACATGATGGAAATTAACAATTAACATGGTACAACTGATATTTAGTTCAAGAAGGTCTTACCTATTCATATAAAAACAAGGAAATCACGGTCAAATGACTTCCAAAAATTCAGTGATTGTTTTGCTCCTCGCAAAAGAGCTGAAAAACTACTATAATGAGGCTTATGTGATGGAGCGCAGTAAAGCATTCTTGCAGATGCAGGTGCGATTATTCCTGTATAAAAGGGCAATGGGACAGTTGACCTCTGATGACCTGCTCCACCACTATCAGACGAAATCAGATCGGAAAAGCGCTGACTTTAATTTCAATCGCATATATAAAACAGACAAAGAGCATATTCCAACTGCCAGCAAGTGAAATGTGTCGTCGATTTGGTGGGAAACCTGACTTACCTCACATTCATACAGGGGCCATTGATCATGACCTATTCACAAAAGCGCTGAAAATAGAGAGGACGGGTAGAGACGTCAAAGTCAGCTACTGAATAATTTAGCACAGTATGTTTAATGGCTACCAAGCTATTAAAAAAGCTACAGGGGGCTGTCAGCCACCCCTCGTTGGGCGATGGTTAAGATATAACCTGATATTGCCAATCTCTTTGCCAATAAGACATTGCTCGATCACCACATATTTACAAACACGTCAGGTGGATATGGTGCAACTGATGACCATTTTAACGTAATGAGCAACAATCACTTTTATATCAGGCGGTGCAGCGCTGCTTTTTTAACCGACTCGTGGTCCCGTGTGCCGAGCGATGACACAGCCCGCTTGCGTCCGCCAGTGAACGGGATCATCAGCCGCAGTTGTCCGTCGCCTCGTGGCCACAGGGCAACTTCCTCACCTCAATTCTTGAGAGGATCGCCTTCGCGTCCACCAGCGACAGCCTGAGCGAAGAGGCAATGTTGCAGTGGGCGCTCCAGTTCTCGAAGCTGAACGTCTACTACCGAGACATCAGCAGTGATGTTATCGAGGAGAGTCCGATCTATACGGTGCGTGTAGGGCAGCAGCCCTGCTACCTGCAGACAGGGGCTGGTATGCACGTGCATTCAGCACGTTTTGTTCCAGGTGGAATACTCACTCTTGGTGCACAAAACTTGTACATTGTCATTTTAAAAAAAAACAGGAATACGAGCGCGGTTGCCTCGATTTGTTTTCAAATTGCTTACAGCGTTCCTGGCGAAAGCCTGAGAGTTAGCAAACAAGCATGAGTCAAATGAAATGAAAATGGAATGTGAGTAAAGTGGAACTACAACAGACTACTACAATCGCTGTTGGCAAAAAGTGTAATAGGTTCGCGAATCGAAACGGTTTACGTGCCCACATGCATGCCGTTGACCTCAGCTAAGATTGACCGCAACTAACAGAAATGTCCCTTCTGTTTTAGTACACCACTTTGATCGGCAGTCTGGGTGGTGCTCTTTCTCTCTACCTCGGCATTGCACTGATCCTGCTGGTAGAAATACTGGAGTACCTATTCTTCATGGCCGTCAACACGCTCCTGTTTATGTGCGGACGCCGTGAGGACACGGGGCAGAAAAATAGCACAGGCAAGTGATCGGCAGGCCGTAGTGATCATTTCAGAGGTCAAGCTCTGAAGCTTTATGTGAATTTGAAATTGTTGAATATTCTTGCGCGAACGTAACGCTTTTTAACGCCCCAAATTTGTACTTGTCTTTGGCTTTGGGGTTTTACACTGAATGGCTTTTAATGTAGGTAATAATGCCGAAAATATTGCGCGAATATGGTGTCTATATTGTTGGGGCGTGCCCGAGTACAACAGCGAATGTACCAGGCGCAAACCGCTGATCACACAGGTCATAAGGGTGAGCATTGCCAGGTGCAAATCGCTGATCACACAAGTAATAAAGGTAAGCATTGCCAGGCGCAAACCGCTGATCACGCAGGTCATAAAGGTGAGCATTTCCAGGTGCAAACCGCTGATCATACAAGTCATAAACGTGATCACTGCCAGGTGCAAACCGCTGATCACACAGGTCATAAAGATGATCATTGCCAGGCACAAACCGATGCGCCTCACAAGGGCAGCCAATGGGCGCGGTTGTCTCGAAGGGGGCAGCACCGTAGTGTCTAAAAGATGGCAGCCGCATGTCGTTATTATGGAACAGCTATAATTTACAGCTTAGCCTTTAATGCGAGTCTATTTTCATCGTTTTATTTTAATGCAAATAGCTCTAGGCATTGTAAAAAATGTTGTGGGTGGTGACTTATCAGTTGTGTATCCAAGTAGGTTGAAGCAGCTTGGGGCAGCAAACTAAATGCCTGCGCTAATGTTGTGAGCTATGGGGAAACATGCTGACACATTTCGAGCATTCCCGTCGTAGGGCTACCACATCTAAGAAACGCTATCGCGACCGAGGAAAAACGGTCAAGGACATTGCCGTCGTGTCTGACGTAGTGCATGATTCTTTAGGCGTGAAAAATGGCGTGGCTTGGCGTGGACGTGTACGGCATCAATCAACAAGTTTTGAAAGACATTGGTCATTGTCTAGTGGAGCATATGAAGTCACTAAGCTTTCACGCCCTGACATGACTTCAGTTGCGGGGGCTGGGCAGATTTTGTAATCAAATGCCTTGGGGTTAACGGAGTGACAAGTCTGGAGTTAGACGCCTGGAGCTCTGTCAACTGAGTTTCTTATCGTAAGGAGCTGATGCCGTGCCGCCTAAATGGAACATTCAGATCAACGTGTTGCGAAAAATGCAGCTAAATGGCCATCAAATATTTAGGCTGCTTTTTGCTCCGAATCGGACCAGCGTAATCTTTGTATATATGTGCTCACTCCAGTTCCGACATGAGTAATGACATTTTGCCTTAATGGCATAAGAAAGTGTTACCTTAAGCGTAAGCAAATAGCCTACTGCTACACTAATCCGATTGCTGCAAACCACAGCTAATGATCATAACGACACGTTTCCCCCGTCCGCGCCGATAACCTTCATGTTTCATGGCCGGTCCTTGCTCGCGAAGTGTAGCAGGGTGCATGATCACTCACCCCAGGAACACGCCATGCCAACAACTTTTTACAGCCATTTGAAAATTGACGCATTGACGCAATTGAAAACGCAACGCAAAATTGACGCAAATTGAAAATCGACAATCGGTCCCCAGGACGCGTGTTCCGGGCGACAGAGCCGACCTGGAAGATAGCCGTCAATGAGCAAGGCAAGATCCTGTACTGAAGATCCACCCAGCGCGGATCAAGAGGCTGTCCCCACAACCACGGCGCAACAAACGGCAAACGGACGCTACCCGAAGGAAAGGAGGATTCTGGACGGATACACGGATGATAAAGGCTTGACGAACGGACTCTTCTCAGGAGATATGCGAGTTATGGTGCGCGGAGAAACGCAACGTTAGCGGAAACTAGAATTTAATCGATGAAACATTTAGGCTGTCCATTGTTTCGGAAGATGGCGCATGACTTATTAATTGCATTGTGTTAGATATTTACAAATCGCGGTGCATCATGACCATGTTTTTTTATCGCAATGGCATGCCACCATCGCTAAGATAAGGCTCGATTACAGGTTTTGAAAAAGCATCATTGATTTGTTAGAAATAAGTTTCGTTATGTGACCTGCTAGCAAATCCGCTTTCTCTTGTGAGCCATGGGCATATGTATGTTGTGTGTGCGACTCTGCTTTTTGTCAACAGCAATGGGTATTTGAAGTCTGTGTCCTGTGTTTATTTTTCACGGAATATGCTCACTGCATTTACCTTCTATTTATAGTAACCAGTTTTTTAAATGATGCTGTTGAAAGTTATGGCTCGCGTCGTAACACTTTAGGGGTTTTGCACAATAACTTACGACAGGCTTTATCACGTGCACATCTCGTCAAAACGGCTGTTGTAATGTCTTATCCGTAGTATCTGCACTAGATGAATATGCTTGTTTGATACCTGTCTTAAACCTGCCTATGCCTGCGCTAATGGAAATTTCCCAAAGTCTAGACCTCCATATACATGCAAGAGCAGTTATAAATAGTCTAAAGAACACCTTTGCTTGAATCCTTTGCGTACGGCCGGTACCAGCTGAATCAACTCAAGTGTTTTATGTTGCATTCCCCAAAAACAAATTCCATGTTTAGGGCATTCTTGGTCTAAGTACCATCAGGCGCACAACTTTTTGCACGTTATTCCAGTTTGAAAGATCGTTTTTTTTTTGTTTGTTTGCCCAGTGCAGTGTGCTCTAAGTCCCATTATTTCCTTGCAGCTGTGAATAAATTGCATTGCCTGAGACGTGTTAATCTGGTTCGAGAATGACATCCGTTAGCTGAAGGTGATGGATGCGGAATGAAACGGAGATCGAGGAAATCACTAATTATTCAGACATCACCTGGATGGCTTTTCACCAGGTTGTGTCCAAGTTAGCTGACCCGCTGGGAAAATTTTGATGATCTCATGGGGCAACACATCGAGGTAACTCACGCAGGTCAGAGGAAGGCACGTTCCTGGATCACTTCAAATGCGACTGCTAGCTTGCTGATACTGGGCATGTAGCCACTGTGGAGCAGTACACAAAACACGCTGCCTTTAAATGATACGCTTTGGAGCTCCAAGAAATGTTATGCCAGCTTGCTGAAAATGCATTGCCAGCTTGCTGAAAATGCATTGCCATGCAGCAAATAGAGTGGCAATGGATCAGTTCTCCCTAAATAAAGTGCAGGCAATGACTCCACAACCCAAGCAGCTCAAACTAAGGGTATTTTGGCCGCCAGTTTATTAGCCAAACAATGGGCACCTTTGATTGGGAAGTTTCGCGACGTTGGACGTCAGTTATGGAGCTATAAGACTTAAGAGATATGGTGCGTCGCATGCACCAGACAACCATATCAACATGCTTGTGGCTCATCTTATGTTCCCTGCAACTCCTGGTTGCTGGTTTTCCGGGGTTGGTCAAGCTCCGCACTGTCGTATCTTGTGAACTGCCGAAGGTTGTGAGACATAACCTTAGTTACTTTTAAATAAGTTACTAATAAGCTACTTTTTACACCTAAACACGTGTGTTTTCAGCACAACAGTGCGGGAAGCTCTACAGAGATTGCAACACTGGCATGCAAAGAAAATATTTTTAGTTAGCTGCAGACAATCAATGGCGTAGCCACGGGTGAGCTTTTGGGTCTGACTCAGACCCCAGCCACCATAAATCGAGCTAGATTCGAAGTCAAGACAGCAGGACTCGCGCCCGGACACAGATTTTCTATAATGATAGATATAAATATAGATTTCATCTATAATCCCCGATGATAAGACTGTTCTCACATTCACGTCATATATAGTGGACAGGAACGTAAACCACATGTAAATTGCACACAGTGATAAAAAACGGCGCGACGGCTTGATCTCGATCACAGGTAAGCGACCAGGCGGTTTCTACGCGACCAGGGCTCTGACAGCTGAAGACAAGTGAACGTCTGATGGCGGCGTGTTTCACATGCCAGCCGCTCAGGAAGCAGAGGATCGGCGCGCTGACACGGTGCGCACTCGCGGGACCTGCAGCAGACCGTCAGCTGCGGCCCGAGCGGCGCGCGAGGACACCGGGGCACGACCCGCCACCCGCTTGCGCAACGCCTCGTGCGCACGGGCGTCTGGCAGAATGCCTCGCGCCGTCATCGTGTCCCGTTCGGTGAGCATATTAGGCACTTAGGTCATCCCGGCACAAGCAGTGCGAGAGATATGCGATCGTGATGATTTAGGTTAAAGAAAATGCGGGCGCCGAAGTTCAGCGTTTTTGAGCAGTCTGTTTCTGTGCAGTTGAGCGGGCACCCCAGACAGCTAAGCAGTAGCGAATGTGGGGAAACATCAGCGTCTCGAGCATTATGCTCTTAGTCTCTGTCGGTACGCGCGTCTCATTCGGGCAAGTACAATCAGAAGGACGTAGTAATGACGTATAATGGTTGGGATGAGATTTTCCGAGCTGAGGGAGCTGGGAAATAGTGTCTGGAGCACAAATAAACGTTGCTTTTGCCCTTAAGTTTGTGCATACTGTGGTGTATATTTCAATTGATGGGAAGGGATATCTTTTGGAAGACATATGTGCGCAGCGACAACATTAAACGGCAATACAAATCCCCACTATCGTCGACAATGCTCGTTTCAATAGCGTTTCGAGTAACCGAAATGGCTCCCAAATCGCATCCGCGCTCGTTTATCTGCTGAGGCCCCAGAATGACGTCGCAGGTTTCTTTACCGTCGCGGATCCGCAGTTGTCTTTGCGGGACCATATTAATCGCCGCGGTTTGCGTAAAGGGAGCGTGCAACATTTCTGTGGAGTTTTGAACTGAAAGAGCCATTTTAAACATCGTGTGGTGCGGTTCACGGCTCTGTCCGTCCTTTTCTGAACTACTGTCGTTCCCTAGTTTCTGAACTGCACCCCGCGAAGATGTGCGAACCATTTTGTACAGACTATTTCAAGACGATTCAGGCATGCATGACGCCATAGCAACGCCATTGAAATTCTGCTATCTCGCAGGCCATGCGGCATCCAAGGCCAAAAAAATGTTATTTCGAGCCTTGAGATTTGACGCCCGTGAGCA